ATACTGCATATTTCTTTTATCATTTTACAAATGATTACTTACCTACAGTTAAAAGAACTTACCTAAAAATGTTTAAATAAACTTTACTAAATACAAAAACTAATCTATAAAAACAAAACACAGTAGGTCTTAAAGGCTAAAGTCTGAAAGCAATGATGACAACATCTTGTTGACAGAAAAGTTAGTGCAATTTTTTTCTTCCTTGTCCTATCAGTTTTCTCTAAAGTCAACCTGATGAAAAACAAAAAAGTAATTTGAAAATTTCAATATTCTAAAATCTACAGCAATTTAAGACAACATGCATGCTTACTTGAATAAAAAAAAAAAATATTGAATAACAGAATTTACATTTAAAAATTGTGAAATTTTGTACAGGGGATTTCCAAAATTGTGTTAGAGTGAAACTGGAAGTTGTGTTGTATGGCAGATGTCCCCAATTTTCAAACCATGTTGTAGAAGTATAATGTTGTACAAGGGATATACTTTCTGTCATCTCAACACTTGCCTCAGTGAAACAACCTTCCACCAGTGCCAAAAAAAGAGATGATACCTGTATCTTCAAAATGAAGCATTGCAGAGGAAAATGTTTAAAATAAAATACATTTCTTTGGAAGTGGAAGAGTAACAAGTTTGTTTATTTTTTTATTTTGAGCATGTTTTCAAGATCATATTAAAATCAACTTATTTTTTTCAAATGAAAACCTATACTTTTTTGTAGTTAGCTAAATCTATATGTGAAATAACAAATAACTTTTGCCTGAAAGATTTGTCTTTGTTAGGTTAATTTACTCATTAAAATTGAATTTTTATATATTGTCAATAAAAGTATTAATTTATACTTTAGAAAGAGAAATGTTCATAGCTTTCCTTTAAAATTTAAATGTTGTCAAAAGTAAACAATAAACAGAAAAATCTTTCAGTCAAAAGTTATTTGTTATTTCATGTAGATTTGGCTCCTACTACTAAAAGTATAGGCTTTTAATTGAAAATAACAAGTTGGATAACAAGTTGGCCTTGATATGACCTTAAAAACATGCTCAAAATTTTAAAAAATATGTTCACTTCAATACAAATACATTTTATTTTAAACATTTTTCTCTGCAGAGCTTTGTTTTGGAGATTTCATTTTTTCAAGTTAAATGCTTCACCCTCTACATTGATATGTTCCATTTCAATAATTTTTAGTGATTCAGAATATTCACTAGTGAAATTAAATTATTTTTTATTGCTTGTTTTGATACATTTTCATTCAATATTCTATCAAAATATTTTTAAATATATTTGTTTTACTCTTGCTTTTTTACTTTTTTCATCTGGATCTAGAGTTATTGATGTTTGAATTAGTTTCACAAAGACTGATCATTAAACACATTAAATCACATAAAATATGCTATGCTAAAATTTATATCAATTCATGCAAATAAGTTTTTACTTATTATTTAGCAAAGTTAGTGTTTAAGTCTATTGAACATCACCTTTAATGATTTAACATAAAAGTGTATATTAACATTAAATAACAACGAAAATGTATAAATAAAGTCAAAGATGAAGTACAAAAATTAAAAATATTAATACATTATTACATAAAGATTTTGTTGACAGTATATAACAATTGTTAATCATTAGGTCTGTTTGACTGTAGCAATATATCTACACCAATGAAAGTAACATTAGAACAATTGTTACCATAAGAGTGTTATTTTCATCCATAGATAATTAAATTAATACAGATTGTTTTGTTCTCATGTTATAAGGAATACTTAATTTTCATTTCTCAATTGTACATTCAATATTCCAAATACAAAATAATACTATAATTTAATTTGAATACAGTTTAAAGCAAAAAACTTTAGTTACTTTCTCTCATCTTAAGTTTAATGAGTATAACCATTATCTGCATACATTACATGTCCAACAATATGAAAATGTTTGCTTACAAGTTCAAGTAGCATCAAAGTATCAAATTTATTGGTAAAATTATCTGACAAATTTCATGCATTCATAAAATACGGATTAAATCTAAATTTTTTCAGCTAATTTTAATCAAATAGAAACTAGGAGAATACTCCTCTATATTTCAAAATCTTTGTGTGCCCATTCTTTATACAGTGGTGCCTCGTATAACGTACTTAATCCATTCCAGGTGCACGTCCGTTAAGTGAAAAGTCCGTTATATGAAATGCATTTTACCATAGAAATACATGTTAAAACATATAATTCGTTCTGCAGCATAAAATAATCGTACTGTACCATTAAAAAAAATGAAAATGGAGCAGTCACCAATTATGCCAGGTAGTCAGATGTTGTGAGGAGGAGGTGGAGGAACACTTTCTTCACATATTCATACAGATACAGTCTTTTTACACATTGCAGCAGATCTCTATTTATTGTTTTTTAATTGGAGTCAGTTTTTTAACCGGGGCTTGCAGGGTCAACTCCTCTTGTTCCATTCTTTGTTTTTTGGCAGCTGACTTCTTGAAAAACATATCCAAGGTGGTTTGTTTCTCTCTCTTCTTCAACACCTGACAGGTGTTGAAGAAGAGAGTGTCATTGTAGAGATCATTGGTCCTGTTGGCCTCAGCTCTGTTTGGATAATGAGTGTTGATAAACTCCTGAACCTCTCCCCATTTGACAAGGAAGTTTTTGTCAACTTTCCCTCCTTCTGATGATTTCTTGCTTTGTTTCAATTGAAAACACCTTTCTGTTTTTTTAGAAGCCATGATTTGGACAACACTCGAATAAATGTAAATACCCTGCACTGAGGTGATGTACGTAATATATACAAGGGAGCAAGCCGAACCCAACGGGAGCTCTGTACTTCAGATATACTAATAATATATTCTAATAATACTAATATATTATAAAAATAGCAGATTGTCGTTGGCAATGGCAAAAGAGTGGAAACATCATTCGCACTTGTTCGCAGTAAGACCGTTGTTCGTCTCACGTAACTGTCGAACGGAAAGTCCGTTGTTCGAAGCCAGTCCGTTGCTCGAGTCACATAACGGCCAAACAGAAAGTCCGTTGTTCGCAATATCCGTTATTCGAGGCGTACGTTATACGAGGCACCACTGTATTATATAATTATCTCATTGCTCCAAAGAAATAATTGGGTTTAACTCAATCCAGTTATTATTTAATTCTTCTATATCCTTGTTAAAGTGCATGTATAATATATTAAATAATTATATCCAAATTAATTATTTGAAAATATTTTATTTTTGCTTTCCCTCCTGTTTAATTTCCAATTTTCAAACTAAACATTGCTACTATAAAAGTAATTGATAATTTTAAATTTCATTATCAGTGAAAATTCTTTTTTTAAAGTTATTCTTTTTATTTCTCTAATATACGATTTTCTTCTTTCTATCAGTCACAATCTAAGTGTATAAGAATGAAATCTGATATCTTTTTTATGCCGTCATTCAATGACAATTTAACATAACATTTAAATTCAACATTTAATTATTTTATCAAAAATTAAGGAATCTTTTAAATAACATTTATCTTTTATAATATTTGATGAATTTACAATATGAATTATATCTAATTTTATTAATTAATGTGAAATTCAAAATTAAATTATATCAGACAACTAATGTATTTATCTGAATGTCATATTAACATTTAATTCAATATTTTTAAAACTAAATCAACTGAAAAAAATAATTCACTAACTATTATCAAAGCATTTAGAGATAATTTTTAGCAAAAATGTATGAATATAAGAAATCTGAGATTCTCATGACAAAATTTTTAGAAGCTCAAAGTAAAAGAAATAGAAATAGATTTGAAGAAATTTTCTTCTGAATCTATAAGGAAATCTATGCATGCAGTCAGTGAAGAGACATACATAACCCGAGAACAAAGAGGGGATATTCACACTTTGTCACACTTCAGGACCCACTCTCACCACATCTTTTCTTCTCACTTGCCAAACAAAAAAGTGATGTTTCTGTCCTATAGACCTGCACAAGGGTTCTTCTAGATCTGGGTCCTTCTAATATCATCGAGCCCTTGGGGCTTAGATTCTATTACTTGATCATCCCAACTGCAATAAACTGATTTGGATAGGGAGATAAAAGGTTGACTATGGACTAAACCATGTGATCTTAAGACCACAGTAGTCAATTATTAGTTAGCAAAATTATATATAATATAATATTTCCAAGTATGTGTATATATATTATGTTTTTATTTTGCAGCAAAGCGGGACAAACATTATTTATATATATATTTTTTTTTAATTTAAATGAGGACAAATCATACAAAATTAAATTCTAATATNTTTATTACTTTAGCTTTATTTTATGTTAGCTACTGAGATTATCAACAGATAGTTGAAATACATCATACATGTTTATTAGTAGTCAGTCACTTTATTATTTAGGAAATTTGATTTTTTTTTTAAAAATATACAATGGGGTAGAAACAATCTTTAAAAACAATAAAAACTTAATAATAGCTCAATTAATTACAGCAATTGTTTGGCTTAGTATCAATAAAAACTGAAATTTTAAAATTGTTGGTTTGTTTTACTTCTCGACTGCCTTTTGACAGAGACAAACAACTAAGGAAACTCGGAGCAGAAAAACATTCTTTTTATTTTTTAAAAGAAACTATGCATTTTGGATGGTTTTACAAAAAATTCTTTTACACTCCTCTTCAGGCTGTAAAAGCATAAAAATATACAATCTTAAAATTTACTTAAAAATCAAAGATTGTATATTTTTATGTTTTTACAGCCTGAAGAGGGTGTAAAAGAACTCTGTAAAACTGCCCAAAATTGCATAGCTTATTTTGAAAAATAAAAATATTTCTCCGCTCTGAGTTTCCTTAGTTTTTTGTCTCTAATAAAAGGTAGTCAAGAAATAAAGCAAACCAACGGTTTTAAGGTTTTAGTTTTTGTTTTTAAAATTTAATTTTTGCAGTATTTTTTTTAAATAAATTTTTATGAAATAAGTTTTTAAGTAGCATATAAATAATACAGTTCATTCCTGTCCCGTGGCTGATGCAAGAAATGGTGGACATTCTCATGGGGGAAGCCCTGTGCCACTAAAGAAGTAATTATATAGTGTATTTTAAGAATTTTATATTTTGTATTTCATTTGAAATGAATACAAATATTTTAAAATAGTTACATTATAGTTTCATTTATTACAAGTTGAAAAATTTTGAATCTAAATATATGTAACTTTTTACAGGATAAATATTTTTTATTACTCAGGTGCAGTATATAAGTGGGAAAACTTACGGATTTTTTAAGAATTAATTTAAAAATTTAAATGTAGAAGTATCATAAAAATTGATGTGTTACATAAAATGAAAATTTGTATAAAAAACTTAACAGAGTAATTAAAAAGTCTCTGTATATAATCCAGATCATCCAAAGAGACAACTGCACATAACATTACATATGTTAACATAAGTTTGCCATGAGTGAGAGAAAAGCATTCACATATATTCTGTGACACCATAACGCATAATGTGAACAATTTGCTCATATAGGAAGACTTTTGAATCACTCTGTAGTGTGGCTATTTTTTCTTGTTATTTTATTACTAAGGATAATGTATTCTTATATTTACTTTAATTTTATCTCATTTATCTAAATATATACATTACCTATACAATATTAGGATGAATTTTATCATAATGTAATATTATATTTTAATATTAACGATTCAGTTAAAACTATTTATTATTTTTGGTAAACGTTAAAAATCTTTATTATCATATTATAAATATTTGATTATATTTATTATATTTTAGAACTATTTTCTTAACAAATAGACTTTTGATGAATTTGTATTGTCTTGATCTGTTTTGTATATTAATATAAAATTATATTTTGATATTTTCAGTATTATTGATTAGATTTTTTTATGTTCTTATCAATAACAGGCTAGAGTAGAAAACAAAATTCTGATATTGAAATGTATTTATTAGATCAGTAGTGCACTAGTTACTTAGCTAAAAATATATGATTGGTAGAAAAATAACATTTTCTTGGACTTGAATGATAGTTGAACAGTATCTTAATAAAATAAATTAGATATTTGTATGTAATTAGATTCACTAGAAAAAGAATGTGTACTTTTGATTCTTATAATAATAATCTCTGCCTTAAAAATTAAAAACAAGTGTATGTACACTGCTTTAGATGTGATCTGTTTATATATATCTAAAACAAAATGCTGATCAAAAAAGAACTGCTCAGTTTCAAGAACTCCTCATTAAAGATGTGGATAAAGATTTTACTTAGAATTGGATATTTTTTCTGGATTGATCATAGTTTTTTTATGGGTGAAAGTGATTTATTTACGTTTTGAGATAAACAATAAGATTTTGGTGTTACTGGTTATCAGTAGTCGATAACTGGTGTAAAAGAATGCAAAACAAATACATTACATTGTATTTTTTTAGCACAAACCATTGAAATATACAGAATACATAGATTATCCAGTGTATAATGTTAACTGTGTAATAACAATATGCACACACACAGCCAATTATTTTACTTCAACTCAAACATTTTTGACATTACATAACGTTGTCTTCGGGATTTCGAATACCAAAGAAGACATTATGTAATGTCAAAAACATTTTAAGTTGAAGTAAAATAATTGTTTTTTGTGTGTGTATAATATATTACTACATAGTTAACACCATACACTGGATTACCTCTCTATTCTACATTACATTACATTTTTTATTACTTTAGCTTTATTTTATGTTAGCTACTGAGATTATCAACAGATAGTTGAAATACATCATACATGTTTATTAGTAGTCAGTCACTTTATTATTTAGGAAATTTGATTTTTTTTTTAAAAATATACAATGGGGTAGAAACAATCTTTAAAAACAATAAAAACTTAATAATAGCTCGATTAATTACAGCAATTGTTTGGCTTAGTATCAATAAAAACTGAAATTTTAAAATTGTTGGTTTGTTTTACTTCTCGACTGCCTTTTGACAGAGACAAACAACTAAGGAAACTCGGAGCAGAAAAACATTCTTTTTATTTTTTAAAAGAAACTATGCATTTTGGATGGTTTTACAAAAAATTCTTTTACACTCCTCTTCAGGCTGTAAAAACATAAAAATATACAATCTTAAAATTTACTTAAAAATCAAAGATTGTATATTTTTATGTTTTTACAGCCTGAAGAGGGTGTAAAAGAACTCTGTAAAACTGCCCAAAATTGCATAGCTTATTTTGAAAAATAAAAATATTTCTCCGCTCTGAGTTTCCTTAGTTTTTTGTCTCTAATAAAAGGTAGTCAAGAAATAAAGCAAACCAACGGTTTTAAGGTTTTAGTTTTTGTTTTTAAAATTTAATTTTTGCAGTATTTTTTTTAAATAAATTTTTATGAAATAAGTTTTTAAGTAGCATATAAATAATACAGTTCATTCATCATCAAGATAATTAAAATTGTATCTAAAATTATCAAATTATTTCAAATTGTCACTGAGGAAATATTTTAACTCTAAATATTTATTTCTTGCTATTCATTACAATAACAATATAGAATAGTTGCAAGGAATTGTAATTTATGAAAATTATTTTACATAAAATTGCATAATTCTGTCAATAAAAATTAAATATCTGTCAATATAAGATTATTCATTAACAGCACATTATATGACAAGTGCTTTAAGTGCAAGGAAGAATTTAACAAAAGTTCAAATTTAGTATTTTAGTATTGTTGTCACAAGAATGGAAAATATTTTTAACTTTTTTACATTTCTATACAAAATATTACAAACGAATACTATGAAATGCTATATTAAAATAATAATTAATTAAATTTTCATCTGTATTTTAACTATCAGCTTAATTAGAATTTTGACTTTAACATGACTTTTATCATTGAATTTTCATTAAGAGCTTTTAAGATTATTCTGTAATAAAGTAATCTTAGCTACATTTACTTATTATATTACCTCTAAGTTGAAGAAGTCAGGTTATGCCCTAAATTTTATCTATAATAGATAAAATTCAGGGCAAGTAAGATTCAAGGCTTCAAGTAAGATTTCATAATTCATTAACATTATCATAAACATTACATTTAAGGTTTCTTTATTTATTCTCCAGTAGATGCTTATTAATATTTTGATATTAAATATATTCTGTTATAAAATGTTCATTTTGAGTTTTTTATTTTGTTTTTAATATATTTTTAGAATAATTAACTAAAAACAAATTATTGTTATTCATAATGATATTGCAAAACTACATTACTTACTGGTATAACATTAAGAAGTGATTCCTGTTAATGGACTTCTTCCATGGAATAAAATTATTCTAGAATAAATTAATTTATGACAATTTTAATTTATTACTATTCTGTAATTGAAATTTTTGAATAAATATAATTTTTTTTTCTAATTATATTCACTTAATAGTTAGTTTCTATTCAAGTTAATTAGCTTTTGTTTTTCTTGAACTAATTTTGAAAAGGTATACAAATATGAATAAAATTAGTCATCAGTGGCAGATAATGCCATTTTGATAGAAGATATATCATTGTATTGTATTAATAAATACTTTTTTGATGGATTTTTTTTTCATAGTTAAATGAAAAAATTAATTTATCTTCAAATAAATCATTTTGTTTGTAATTTCCTTCTTTCTAAAACAAAGTTGAATGTAAGCATTTTTCTTCTATCCTTAGTAAAGTTTGTGTCTTAATTAATTTTGTGATATGAATATTTAACCAATTTCTCAAAAGTCCAACTCTGAGATTGAATGATGTTCTTAATAATAATAATATCATCAAACTTATATAGATCTGTGAATCATACAGAACTTAAAAAACTCTTCAAAGAAAAATATATAAACCGTTTAAAATCTATATTAAAAACAAAACTCAATGCCCACAATGCAATACTGGCAATAAATACATGAGCAACATCAACGCTTACATACACATTTGGCATCTTAAAATGGAATGATACAGATTTGGAAGACCTAAATAGTTGTACAAGAAGAATGACGACAAAATATTATAAACACCATCCTAAAAGCTGTGTGGATAGATTATATATGCCAAGATATGAAGGCAGACGACGATTCATTGACATAAAATATTTGGCTTATTCACAAATTGAAAAACTATGAAAACATTTCATAGAAAGGAACAATGAATTACACAAAGTAATTGCTCAACTAGATGATAAAATAATCGTGCTAAATTTAGCTGGAAATGTCACCAAAATCAAAATCTCAACAGAGAACAGATGTAATAAATGGCTTGAAATGCCACTATATGGTCAATTTCCACATTTATTGCATGACACAATAATTGATATTGAAAACTCTACATTATGGCTGTGCAAATCAAACATCCATGCCAAAACTGAAGACTTTGTGTGCCATTCAAGATTATTCAATAACAACAAAATATTACAAAAAATTATATTGAAAGAAAATATTGATGGCAAATATCGAGCATGCAAATCAGCCAATGAAACAATTTAACATATTATTTCTGGATGCCATGCACTTGTCCCAACAGAATATACTACAAGACATGATAAATTATTTTACTAATTTGATTAACAACTTGCCAAAAAATTCAAACTTCTTAGTAATATGGCACCTTACTAGAAATTCAACCCACTTCCAGTGATTGAAAACAAATCAGCAATATAGTACTGGGATAAACAACTAATAACAAACAAATCAATTGATTATAATAAATCTGACATTGTTCTTGTTGATAAAATTTCAAGGAAAACTGATTCTCAAATATCAGTCACTGAGAAATGAAGTTCAACTTTGGAAGCAAAAGGAAGTACTAATAATACCAATAATTATATCAGTGGCAGCTCTAATTCTGAAAACGATAACTGAGCACCTAAAGAAACTGCCATTAACTGTTGACTTCATACAGAAATGCAGAAGGTTGTTGTTTTGCATGCATGCCACATCACTTGCAGATTCCTCAACCTCAGTCAACAATAAGAAAACAAGGGCTTGGTTTTCAATAACCTGCCAAAATTACCAGTTGAACTGTGAAAAACAGACTTATAATAATAATAAAATAAATTTTTATTATTGAAATATCGAATTAATATTCTTCTCAAAATGACTATTTATTAATTATTCATTCATTATAAATTTTCATTTTTTGTATTTTAAATCTCTTTTTCCCCAGTCAGACTTATAATATTATCAAGATAGTTGAATTTTGTTATATTATACAAATATTTTTCAAATTAATGAATTATTACAACAAATTGTTCAATTATTACAGTAAAAAGTAATTAAAAATAATAATAATTAAGTAATGTTGATATGTTAATATTATTGATAAATTAATGACTGTTTATCATCTTAGACAGAATTGTCATCTGTCATTAACTTTAATAATAAAACAGTTGATGTATCTAGAGAAACAGTTTGTTCAGAATAAAGCTTAAACATTTAGCTTTCATTAGTAATTAATTACATCTATTGCTGGTGATGAAATTTATGACTACTTTATGTCTATCTTTGCTGTTTATGCATTAATGTAATCTTTACTGATTTTGTTATTCATGTTCGAATTAATATTCTTTTTATCTTAAATGAATTCCAATAGACTGATGATTATGTATGCAAGACAAGTGAATTTTAGAGCCAGAATATTGTTATCTTAAGATTATTGCCATATTCTTAAAACAACAATGTTCTGGTATTACACAACATTACATTCCTGATTATAATCTGGATTTATCATAATCAGGATCCATTAATTAATTATTTTTGAGGATGAGAACAGATACTTATTGACAGTTATTAGATAAATTATTTTTTTATTTCTCACTTTATTGTCCTGTGAACTTGTTTATCATGTAAAGTCTTAATGTAATTATTTTTCGTACATTTTAAGAATTAAAATGTCATACTTGCTTTATAAGCTCTTAGAAAAAATGTATTCATTATACTAAAAATATAACTTCTAAAAGCTTACAAGTATGATATTATTTGATTTTAAAATGTGCACTATAGCTAAAAAGTAAAATTAATTAATTATAATATTGAATTTAATTGAATGAAAATTTTTCACTTATTTACAAAAGTCATTTCTTAATTAAAAGAAAGGAAAGAAAAAAAAATTTTTATATTTTTAGAACACATTCCTGCAGTTGTGCATCATCTCCTGCATTGAATATGATCACAAGAGAAGGATCAGACCAATCAGGGTTAGTTTCTTAAAAATTATTTTTCAACCTTTATAAATAGTAAAAAAAATATATTGCCACAATTGATAGAATAACAAATATTTGAAAATAAATATAATTATGAATCATTCTCGAGCACTTGATGCTCATATATTGAATAATTTGGATTAATTCAGGTAAAAAGAATGTAATTTTTGTCTAGGTAAATTTGATAGTAAAATTATTAAAAATTATGAAATTATCTAATTTTAATTTGACAAAAAAAAATTATATTTAAAATTTGAAAATAGTTTGGAAAATTTTTTCTTTTTTTAAATTAAAATAATAATATACAATATATAATAGTCTTAGTGAGTTAAATATATACTTATTATGATATAATTTAATATGATATTTATCTTTAGTTTGTATGTTTTTAAAGATAATTTGAGGTATCATGCTTTATGTACTGGTCAACCAAGCTTTTCTGCCACTTGCTACTAGAATAGCTATAGCTGGAAAAAAGAGTTTAATTCTGCATTTTATACAGAATTCTGCACCTTAAGCTTTAATGCATGAATATTATCTTGTCTGCTATCAACAAATAATAACACAATAATTTCTTTATAAGAATATTTGCACTTTTCATTGTAGACTGAAAACACGATCAGTTTTAATATATTTAATAGGAATTATTATAAATGTTGACATATTTTACTCGAATGTTTTTGCACAGTTTTTTTATTTTCACATAAATGCATTCAGTTTGTGCCATTCAAGATTATTCAATAACAACAAAATATTACAAACGAATACTATGAAATGCTATATTAAAATAATAATTAATTAAATTTTCATCTGTATTTTAACTATCAGCTTAATTAGAATTTTGACTTTAACATGACTTTTATCATTGAATTTTCATTAAGAGCTTTTAAGATTATTCTGTAATAAAGTAATCTTAGCTACATTTACTTATTATATTACCTCTAAGTTGAAGAAGTCAGGTTATGCCCTAAATTTTATCTATAATAGATAAAATTCAGGGCAAGTAAGATTCAAGGCTTCAAGTAAGATTTCATAATTCATTAACATTATCATAAACATTACATTTAAGGTTTCTTTATTTATTCTCCAGTAGATGCTTATTAATATTTTGATATTAAATATATTCTGTTATAAAATGTTCATTTTGAGTTTTTTATTTTGTTTTTAATATATTTTTAGAATAATTAACTAAAAACAAATTATTGTTATTCATAATGATATTGCAAAACTACATTACTTACTGGTATAACATTAAGAAGTGATTCCTGTTAATGGACTTCTTCCATGGAATAAAATTATTCTAGAATAAATTAATTTATGACAATTTTAATTTATTACTATTCTGTAATTGAAATTTTTGAATAAATATAATTTTTTTTTCTAATTATATTCACTTAATAGTTAGTTTCTATTCAAGTTAATTAGCTTTTGTTTTTCTTGAACTAATTTTGAAAAGGTATACAAATATGAATAAAATTAGTCATCAGTGGCAGATAATGCCATTTTGATAGAAGATATATCATTGTATTGTATTAATAAATACTTTTTTGATGGATTTTTTTTTTCATAGTTAAATGAAAAAATTAATTTATCTTCAAATAAATCATTTTGTTTGTAATTTCCTTCTTTCTAAAACAAAGTTGAATGTAAGCATTTTTCTTCTATCCTTAGTAAAGTTTGTGTCTTAATTAATTTTGTGATATGAATATTTAACCAATTTCTCAAAAGTCCAACTCTGAGATTGAATGATGTTCTTAATAATAATAATATCATCANATATTTCAACTACCTTTTAAGGTATTATTACTAATTTAATTATAATAAAAGTTATTTCACTTCCAATTATTTTCAATTTTAAATTCTACCTTTTCATTTTCAGTTTTGAGATGCTGTAGAATAAAAACTAGCGGCTTTCATATTTTTAGACAGTTTTTAAGAAATTGTTTTTTTATCAATAGTTTATTATAATTATACTATCTATTATTTTTTAGTAAATTGCGATACTAAATTATTGATATTATATATGTATGTATAAATCTCAGACAAAATTTATTTTATATGGCATTAAGCAGAAAACATTTTATTTCATAATTTCAAATACAGAAAAAATTGCTTTGTAATAATATTTTACTAATTATTATAAATTTATAATAATTTCATATAATAGGGAAAAGTAATATGCAGACAAATTAATTTTTATATACAAAATGACAATAAATATTTACAATAAACTCTCCTCCAATATGCATAACATTTTTTATACAAATCATATATTCAGTGTATACACATTGGTTGATGATATGAGATGATAACAAGAAGAATCAATATATAGAGGAAAACAACTGTAATATAATAACGTTAAAATTGTGCAAATGTGTATAACTTAATTTTATTTGTCATTACTAAATTTTCTATTTTTTATTGTGGGATTTATGACATTAATTATGTATAACATATTCATATAAACATATAATAAACTATAATTTAATTAATTAATTATTGGCTTAATTCTAGCCCAAAAATAATCCATATTTTAGATAGATTTGGCTATTATAGGTAATGTTTTTTGGGACAAAATTAGCATTACCTTAAAATAATTAAATAATTACTAATCTATTCTTTTTTGAAGTTCAAAGTTATTTAGAAGTATCCCTTTCATACCTGAATACTTTTGGAATTATATATAAAATTGCTAATTGATGATAGATGTCTTTTTACTTAAATGTATTAAATGTTTTTTAAGCTTAATTTGGCTCATTTTTAGGAACATACTTAAAAACTCAATGAAACATTTCATTGAGTACATTTAAATAAAAATACCTCTATAATCAATTAGCAATTTTATATATAAGTAAAGGTACGTGATCGAAAATCAACAAAATTATACTTTTGAACTCATTACCATTGAAATTGTAAAATTACCTCTATTTGGATTCACTACCAAGTGAAATTGTAAAATTACCTCTGAAAATGGTAATTTTCAGAGGTAATTTTACAATTTCACTTGATTTATTCTTATTTAACAGTAGAGAGGTTGAGGCGCACGTTTTAAACGTGTAAACGTGTACGTGTGACGTTCGGCGCCGCTTTCCCGTAAGCCTAAAAGTTTGACAATGGTGTTTGGATAGTCGGTGGAATCACGCTCGACAGTCCATACACCATCGTCAAACTTTTAGGCTTACGGGAAAGCGGCGCCGAACGTCACATGTACACGTTTACACGTTTAAAACGTGCACCTCAACCTCTCTAGTAATTTAAATTTTATGAACATCATTTTAAATTATTCTCTTGTTTTTTGTAGTATTCTGTAATGTTTGTAAAATTAAATCTGCTGTCAAACAAGGTTAAATCAAGTGAAAGTTGCAATGACCTATCTGAAGATGGACTATTAATGAATCCAAAAATATTCAGATATGAAAGAATATTTCAAAATGACTTTGAACTCTAAGAAAACAGGAGTTAGTGACTAACAATATTTATTGTCAAATGCTTCTAATGCAGATCTTTCTTTTCTTTTCAATAAGAGACCCAAATATTTTTTTTCAGTAAACTACAGTCTCTTGTTCAGGAACTTCTTTATAGATACTTCATAAAATCTCCACTATATAATTTGCACTGTTTCAAGAATATATAGGCCTATTTATTTAAGTTTTTAAATTTTTTATTGCTCTTTAATGAAATGTATGTCATTTTATAGAGATCATTTTGCCTCTATAATAAACATATTGAAAGTCTTTTTTTCTGCATAATCCTTTGTTTTCATAAAAAACCAAAACAAATTTTACTTTATTTAAAAATCTTACTTAACATAAATACTAATAAGAAGTAAGTTGTCTGGTATGTTGATTCTGCACTTTGATATAAGGAATGTCAAAGTTTTAAAATTCATTGAGTTTTTTTTTTTTTCAAATATATTTTTGCTATCTCTGTTTAGATAACTTTATACATTTTGTAAATGCTTATGATTAACCTTCCTAGTAAGTTTTAAACTGCACAAAATGGCAGTTTTCCATCTTAAGTAAGAATCTTTTCAATCAGATTTATTACAGCAAATGGATTAATTTACTTCTAAAAGAGTAACATCATACATGGATTTTAAAAGAAGTTTAAGTATGTTTGTTGTCTTGATATTTACACATATACTATATTTCAACTACCTTTAAAAAATTTCTTAAATTACACATTTTTTGGCAACAAACTTTTTTCCTGATAATATTATGAATTTTGATTGTGTTTTTTGCTTATCAAGCAGTTTTACTTTCTAATGTCAAAATAGTCATTTTCTTTCTGAGCTTTCTTCAAACACTCCTTTAAATTAGAGAGAAAGTCATTCTTCCACTCTAATTTACTGTAACCAAGACAATTCTTCTACTGATCTTAAATGGTATACTTTTTAAAACAAGGGACTTGTTTTAAAAAGTATACCATTTAAGAGTATACCATTTAAGATCACCATTTAAAAAGTATACCATTTAAGATCACTACTTTCACCATCAAAATTTTTAATAACACATTCATGTGTGCACAATAATTAATTAATAAAAATGATGAAAAATGGCTATTGTATGCAGTTTAAAATTTACTGTGTTTGTTAATAATAAGCATTTATACAATCTATAAAGGTATATAAGGCAAAAAATATACATGAAGAAAATTCTATCTCAAAATGTCAGTCTTTTACACATTGAAATGCAGAATCAATGAATTAAACAACTCAATCATTACCACTTTTTATTAATATTTACATTAATTATGACATTTAAATAAGGTAAAAATCTTTTTTGGCTTTTTATGAAAACAAAGAATATTGCAGGAAAAAGAGTTTTGGTACATTTAATAAGAAGGTGATCTCTATAAAATGGCATCCATTCCATTAAAAAGTGGCATTGGTAATTCTCAATCTTCCCTTATAAGAAATGTCATCATTATACAGGTATACCTCGACTTACATCGTTTCGAGTTACGTCATTCCCGATTATACGTCGTTTGTCAAAAAAGTACATGGAAAAATAAAAGCCAAGTTTAAGTCATTTTATTCGACTTTACGTCTGTCCACCACAAATATTGAAGTCGTAATATCACTAGAAAAGCATTTAAAGCACATCAAATCATATAAAAATATATACGAGTATGTACTGTATTTACAGTACATGCATTCGTAAATTTAGATTACTTTTTTCTGTACTATATTAAAAACTAAAATTTGTTTGTAAGCTTAAAATAGATCCTTATTAACCATATATTATTAAAAATGCATTAATAAATAAAATACAGAACCGGGAATGGTAATTTATGGTTTAGCCTAGTGACAAGTAAATTCGACTTACGTCGTTTTTCGACTTATGTTGTTTTCCTGGAACCAATTACCGACGTAAGGCGAGGTATACCTGTAGTATTGTTCATGGAAACTATTTTTATATTCATTTTAGTCCTTATAACATTTGATCCATTTCTTTACATAAAGCATAAATATTAAAATAACACTAAATTCTGGAGGCCTTAGGGTTTATTCAGAATAAATGTTTTTTGAAAAGTTGTATATCTGATCATCACAAAAAATAACAGGCTGTTTTATGTTCAACTTTAACATATTAACATATACAACAATTCAATTCAATTAATATTGCATAACAATTCACCAGATTTATTGGACTATGTTAAGGCTAATTTAATAATTAGAAATAAATTAATTATTAATTTAAATTTAGAATATTCTGGAAGAAAAGATGATCTGGAATGGAACTCAAATTCACACCACCTGCTTACCAAGCAGATGCATTTCCAGTTACACTATTCAGACTGCTGTCTGATCTTCAGTTTCAGAGATATTAATTAATTTAGATTTAACCATATTAGTCATTCATGGTGCCAACTTGTGCTTTTACCCTTGCATATATATATATATACTGTACATATACAAATATATATACATGCAGATTATTTATCAGGCTACATTTACTTTAATATATCTAATTAAATCATCCTTAAGCCAATAAATACTAATTGGCTTAAGGCATGACAATACTAATTGAATCAATCAGATTTTTGTATATGGTGTGTGTGTGTGTGTGTGTGTGTGTGTGTGTGTGTACAGGGAAATTTATACCATAATAGATATACATTGTATTTCATAAAATGATGTTTTGTCTAAATTACAATATACTCTACAGCTAATATTACATTGTTATTAATATATAAGAAAGAATCAATCAACATTCATTTTATTTAATAATATATCTATTTTTAAGAAGAAATAAATTTGATGAGCAAAAAATAAATGTTGTGATAATAATTTGAACAATTAGTGTTTTTTATGATAAGTGAAGTAAATTAAATTTGATGTATAAAAACAAATAAAAGNCAGCTTTATACACGTAATGAGTTCGTAATTTGTAAAGAAAAGTTACTTTCCATAGATGAGATTTCTTCTCAAGAAATATCGCTGAGAGAAGCAGCTGCAGCTAATTCGAAAAGTGGAGGGCAAGGCTATACACGCTGTCATTGCAAAAGGAAATGTTCCACAAATAAATGCAATTGTAAAACAAGGGACTCTTGTGTAATTCAAAGTGCCATAATGGTTTAAGTTGTTGCAATAAATAAGATTGTGTAACGTTAATCATATAATTTATGTGGAAGTTTATTGTTGTATTATTTTCTTTAATGATTTAGAATGCACTTTTCATTTTAGGTTCGATGGTTTATTTACATGTACTGTTACTTAAGCTTTCTCCTATTTTGACATATTAAAAAGTTGCATCTTTGTCTTAACATAACAAAAATATTTTTATTCAACATTCACCATCAGTGCATGCTGAACGTCGACATTTGCCGGTGTAAGTGAGAAATAATAATTAGCAAATATTTCATACATACACGAAATGACTGTGTGAATGCTGACATTCACCGAAGAATGTTGACATTCTCCAGATATCGGTCATTCACAGTAACATATACATATTTTATTTTATACTTTCAAAACTTTAGCAACATAATAGTGGATATACATCTGATTTTTTAATATAATATATTTGATATAATCAAAAACTCATTACACATTAAATAAATACATTATAAAATGAAAATAGATTAATATATTTATTTTTTGTTTTCATAAAGGAATTTATATTTAATAATAATAAATTTTTTGAGAAAAATTTCTTTTGGTTTATAAAAAAAATATTTTGCATCACCTGATATACATCAAATGGAGATAATTCTATGAATAAGAATAAGAGAATAATTCAAAATAACATTTAAAAAATTTTTCTTTTCTGACTTCTGGAAAAATGCATTTAGTTTCTTGCTTTTATTTCCAGAAATCATTAGTGAAAGTTTGATATCCAAATCAGTAAAAGAAAATAATTTTATAAACAACAACACCATAAATTACTCTAGAAATTGAAATTTAATGTGCACAATAACATTTTCAACCAGTTTAATGGATCTAATGGATGAAAATAATTTTGCAATGTGATAAATATTCTTGTTACAAATGAAATCAAAATGAAAGTCTAAATATGATTTATACAGTAAAAAAAATGACAACACACAATATAGTAAATGTTATTGACTAGGTAGATAAGTTATGTTGGCTTAAATCAAATAGAAAATATCATTTTTAGTATATATATTCAAAAAATTATATGTTCTGTTTTATATATTGTATCATGTATATAAAAGTGATATATTCTTTATTTTAAATACACTATTCTTTGCTTACAACAATAATAAATTTTTCAAATTTGAGCAAAAATTTTCTTACAAATACCTAAACTTTTCATTAACACTTTATATTCAAAGCATTTTATTAGAATTCAAATACAATTTTCTAAGATAGGCATGTTAATGAATATTGTAGTTTTATAATATAATCCTGTAGTATTTTCATTACATATTTCCTAGTTGAACTTTAATAGAAACTGATATATATATATAGATATTAAATACATATATTTTTCAAGCTTATGAAAATAGAAATTCTTTTCTGTTTTTATTAATTTATATATATTGCATATCTTAAATTAAATAGTATTTAATGTTTCTTCAGTGATTTTTAATTTAATTTTTGTATTGCAGTTTTATTGTAATTCACTCTAAATGTACTGTATATAAAATATTTTATAGAATACAATTATCTATATAAATATAATTAAGGAAAATATATGAAACATTCAATTTTTGCTTAATTATATTTATAATTGCATTTTAAGGATATAAAATATTTGTATTTGGTATTTGGTGTGTTTTATATATCTATATTTTCAACTTAATGTTTTTTAAATTTATAATAGTATTATGTTTTAGTTTTTAGAAAAAACTTATATCAACTGAAAAATATTTTTGGAAAAATTTTAATTTTAGACCTAGTAATTAATTTAATTAGAATAATTTTATAGAAGATATTTCAAAATAAAATTAGAATAAAAATTTTTCTTATCAAAATTAGTGTTTTATTTCTCAATTAAAATAAAATAATGATGATAAAAAAAAAGATGCATTTTACTAGAATTCATATAGATTCATCATAATTAAAATACCTGTTTAATTTTTTAATTCAAAATATATATTAAGAAGGAAAAATGGTTTTTTTAAAGTATGCTTAGTTAATCTACAGTAATGAATTTAATGCATCAATTATATTTCAATGGTAAGTATTGACCATGAATTTGCTAATTATCTTACTAAAAGCTGTGGTTAAGTTGTTTAATTATGTATAATTTATTTTAACAAATAAAATATATTTTTAGTTTTATATATCAGCATAATGAAAATATTTTATACCAAATTTTATAAATAATTTAAAATTTGGTATTTTAAGATATTATGTGTTAATTTTAAATATCATAAATAATAAAATTTGATAAATTTCATTAAATACAGTTCAACTATATAAATGTATTTTATACATTTTCAAACTTTTAATTATTTAATCTGAATACCTAATGTACTAAATTATCATAAGAATGTGTCTAACTTTTAAAATTTATATATAAAATAAATTAAAATTTTTATCACTAATTAATTACAGCTTCTAAAAAATTTCTGAATTATTATTTAATGTTTTCACAATAAAATATGGATTTTAATTTACCATATTCTGCTTTTAATTTAACTCAACAAAATAAAAAATAATTATGAAAAATAAACATTTGGGATACGAATTTAGTGAATTGATATTTGTAAATAAAATAAAACAAAACAAATTAAGAAAATATTTTAATTTTTCTAACTAGGTAAAGTAAAATATTATTTCTGTTTAAAATAAAAAAAAACTGAAAAAAAATAAGTAAAAAAAAATTTTTCATTTTCGAATTGAAAGTTTCATTCATGTTCTTTTGAATTTATTTATGCTTAAAATAGTATAATCTATTGTGCTTTTAATAACATATATTTATATTTTTGTTAAAAACAATTCAATTTAATGTGTGGTTTCATATTCTCTAACCTTTCCAATGTTAATGAATTTTAATATTTTAATTATAATTGAAACTTAAGTTTTAGTTACAATTATGTAGTTATAATCATAATTCAGTAATATTGCTATGATTATAAGTAAAAGTTTATTCTGTATTAATTTTTATTATTTTACCATTTTTATTTGAAATGATCCTCTGTCTATCTGTCTACAATTTATCTTTGTAAAGGATGATAATTTTTTTTTAATTTTTACATACATATTAATGTTGTTGTTGTTGTTGTTGTTATTTTCCTTACTAATGTCATAGCTAATATTTTACTCTTTCTAATTGTTTCCTGTTCTTCTAAATCTGCTATCTTTCCTTGGCAACGTAAATGTCGCTAAGGTTGCAAAGCTTACTTTCATTTCCAGGTGCTTTATTTACCTACCAGCTACTCGCACAGTACTGAAAAGAGATAGTGCAACTTCTTTGGCCACAGCACAGGAAATGACAAGTTCGTGAGTATTCAAAAAGATAAAAAAATATTCTACGATAACATATGCAAAAACATAAGTTTTAATTTTTATTTGTGGAAGGTACAATTCTCATATCAAAATGAAAAAAATTGAAATATATGCTTTAAAATTATTTTTATATTTCATTTCTATCTGTATAAATTAACA